GCCTCAGAGCTGATCCCGAAGTCGGCCTGTCATTACCCCGGAGCCCAAGGGTGGGTCGGCCCGGGCTGTGTCCTCCCCACGGGCCACCAAGAGTGTGCGTACGTGCATGTCTGGTGGAAAAACTCACCAACAGTGCTGACAAAAGTGATGTTCCCAAATGTCAAATGTGCCGGGCGTGGTGGTGCACACCGGTCATCCCAGCACTCAGGAGGCCGAGGCAGGAGGGTCGCCATGAGTTCAAGGGCAGCCTGGGCTACACAGTGAGTGCAAGGCCGGCCTGAACCGCAAGGTGAGACCCTGTATCAAATAAATAAATAAGAAGAAAGAGAGGCTAAGGCGACTGTGTCCTCCCTGATTCCTAACCTTCAGCCACCCTCTGAGCCTAGGGAAGAAGCTCAAACCAGGTCCTTTGCACAAGCTAACCCACCTTTGACACTGCCTTCTCTCCATTTGAACCCTGTTCATCCTGCAGATCTCACCTTAGAAGCCATTTTCCACGACCCCTGACCTACACTTGCCTCCTGGTTCGCGCCCTGAGGGTGTGTGGGCCTCTTGAGTCCCCAGAGGGACCACGCCATGTCTGTGCCCTATCTCTCTAGCCAATTGTTCAACCTTGCTGTGTAGTCCATGCTGGCGTTGAACTCAGGGTGATTCTCCTGCCTCAGCCTCCCAAGTGTTGGGATCACAGGTGTGCGCCACCACGCCCAGCTTCCCTTCTGATTCTCTTTCTTTTTTTCTTTTTCTTCTTTTGATAGAGTCTCACTATGTAACCCAGACTGGCCTCAAACTAGTGGCGATCCTCCTGCCTCAGCCTCCCGATTGCTGGGATCACCACGCCTGGCCCCTTGTGATTTCCATAGTGCTCTCCCCGTCCTCCTTCAGCCTTTGCTTCTGTGTTCCCTTCCTGGCGAACCTCCCCACGTGGCTTCCCAGCCTTATTTGTTGCAAGGTGAGCACTGCTATGGGAGCTCTCCTGCCTGTGTCCCTGCCTGTCCGCTTCCCTTTCACACAGTGGAGGCCGTGGGGCCCTGGTCTGCTGCGTTAGGATCACGTCAGTCACCCAGCGTTTCCCACGCCCAGGTGTCTGCCGGCGGGGACAGGCTGGGTCTGCGCCTGTCACTCACGGCGGTGGCAGACCTGGCTCCTGCCCCAGGGGCCGCTCTTCCTGCCTTACAACTGCACTTTGACCCTTTACTTCGCCCCGCTCAGGGACACCTCGGAGGTACCACAGTTGCCAACCCATACCTGGCAAATAGCCGATGCTCAAGAAATAGGTGGTTGGGCACAGGGCGCGCACCTGTCATCCCAGCACTTTGGGAGGCTGAGGCAGGAGGATGGCAAATTCAAGCCCAGCCTGGGTAACTGAGACCGTGGCTCAAACTAAAATATAAAAAAGGGCTGGGGCTGTAGCTCCGTGTGAGGCTCTTAGGCTCAATCTCCAGTACGGAAAACGAGGAGGTGTGGGATAAAGTTGGAATGATTCCCCTTGACGCGCAGTGACTGCGCCCTTCACCGAGGCCTGGAGCTGCGGCTTCTCCTGACCCCGCCTGCCCCGCGCCCTCTGCCAGTTCCCCGCCTCCTGCGAGGACACCGCCCCGAGGTGAGCACGAGGATGCAAGGCCGCCCCGAAGGCCGCTGTCCCGGCAGCACCGCGGTCCCCGTCCTGCAGGGGCGGTCAGAAGGGCTCTGGAGTCGCCAGCAGCACAACTGGGAGCAGAGTGCGCGCGAGGCCAGGGACGCGCGGGGGCCTTCGCCACCCAGCCAGGAGGGGGCGCCGACGAGCACACGTGGGCCTTGATGATGCCGCCACCAAGGCAGAGGTGAGGGAAGCTCCGAGGAAACCGCATCTGGGTGATAAAAACTTAGTACCCACAGCGGGGCTCAGCGGACAGAGGCGGAAGAGAGGAAGGGAAAGGGGAAGGAGGGAAGCAGGGAGGCCGGCTGACGTCAAAGGGCCCGCATTCGAGGTTCACGCCCGACGCCGCTAACCCCTCTTGGCCCCCTGTTCTTGCACTTTCAGGAAGACACCGAATTGCCGTGTTTCCTAGGGTACCAAGTGGGCTAAACACAAGGGACCTTTTTTTTTTTTTTTTTTTTTTTTGGACAGTCTCAACTATGTAGCCCAGGCTGGCCTCAAGCTCACGGTGATCCTCCTGCCTCAGCCTCCCGGGTGCCAGGATGACAGGGGTTCAGCACTGCACCTAGCTAGGGAGATTCTTTATTTTGGGCAAACTCTTATTTTAGTGGGCAACTGGAGGTGGGCTGAAACAATTCCGTGTGCAGATCAGTCTGACCTGGGCCTCTGGCTCCATCAACACAGACCTCAAAGGCTGAAGTTCCTGGCAGGTGGCCACCTCGGCGAGCCCTGCCCTTTGTGAGTAGTTGGCTGTCAGGTGGCTGGGTTACAACGTGCTGGGCAGTGCTGACTCTGTTTTATTCCAGCTCTGGGACAAGGCCCAGTACCCTGGCCGGACCCAGAATCCTGCAGCCACCATGCAGCAGAGCTACCAAACTGGGCAAGGTGCTGTATGCCCGTAATCCCGGCACAGGGAGGCTGAGGCAGGAGGGTCACCCCAAGTTCAAGGCTAGGTTGGACTACATAGTCAGGCCTTGTCTCAAAAAATAAAGATAGGAATGCTCGAAGCCATCTTCCAGGGCCCCTCAGGGAGGGTGTCCCAGCGGCTGTCCCCCACCTGCTCCTCTGCAGGGGGATCGAGTGGTTGAAAGATGGTGTCCTTCCTCTCACCTCTGTGCCTCCCTCGGTGACAGCAACACTACCGAGCCCCGGAGGCCATGTTCCCATATTCTGAACTCTTTGGCTCTAACACCACAGCTCTGAGTGAAGTCACCTCCGTGGGGACCGGGTGTCAGCCCTGTCCTTGTCGCCCCAGCCAGGGTTCACCCGGAACTTGAGCAAGCCCTGTCACTTCAGATGCCACCATACTGGCAAATGCCGGGTGTGGAGGGGACTTTCACTCCCACAGTGCTCTCCCCTCCCCCAGATGCCCCGGGCATCTGTGATCCCAGCACTCAGGAGGCTGAGGCAGGAGGATCACTCTGAGTCCAAGGCCAGCTTCAACTGCACAGGGAGACCCCAGCTCAAAAAACCAAAAGCTTCCAACACGGAGGAACAGGCATGAAGTGGAGGCCACCAGCGGCCCCAGGAAGTCATGTGCCCACCCTCCCCTCCCAGCAGCGCATCAGAGGGCCTGTTTCAGAGCCGAGGCCCCTCCCTGGCACTGTGTGACCCCAGCAAGTGGCTGGGCCTCTTGGAGTCTCCATTTCCTCGTCCGAATCAGGGACGACACTGCTGCCACCAGTTATTGTGAAGACTAAATGAGGAAACTCAAGAGGCACTAGCCGGGAACCAGGATGGAGCACTTGTTTCAGTCAAGGACAAACATGCAGATGGAGATGGCCATGGTGGTGCACGCCTGTCATCCCAGCACTCGGGAGGCTGAGGCAGGAGGATCGCTGTGCGTTCGATGGCAGCCTGCACTACATAGTGAGACCTTCTCTCTCTCCCAAAAAACCAACAACAGGGCGGGGGATTTAGCTCAGTGGTGCTGCTGCCTGCCTTGCAAGTAGAAGGTCCTGAGTTTGATCTCTGGTACCGAAAGAAAGAAAGAAAGGTCCCAAGCAGCAACAATAAGCACACTACACCTCGTACGCTGGGGTCTATACAGCTAAACTGCTCAGGCTGGGCTGGAACTTGTGACCCTCCAGCTGCAGCCTACTCAGGGCTGGGATTATAGCGTGCACCACCACGCCCCACAGGTTTGAACTGTGGGGCAAACCATCTCTCTTGGGTGTTCTGAACATTCACCCAGAAGTGTGGCAAAATTAAAGACAGAAAAGTCCTCCCAGGACAAACCATCAAAGTGTGTGGAAAAACTCAACTTTCAACAGGGCCCCCTGCGGCCCTTAGCGATCGCCTCCCACTGTGCCCCCCAAGTTTCCACACCTGGCCCCTTCCGTTTCTCTAAGAGCCTCGATAAGTAACCCAGGCTGGCCTGGAACTCGCGGTGATCCTCCTGCCTCGGCCTCCTGGGCATGCACCTCCACAAGGATAAGAGACAGTGGTTTTTGCTAACAATCCCATTTGCAAAGGGGCATCCCGACGGGTCCCCCAACTCTGCTCAAGGCGGAGTAGGGGAGTCCGGCGTCACTCGTGGGCTGGGGCAAGGCCAGCGCGGCCCCGGTCGCGCGTGGAGCCGCGCTGCTTTCCCAGATCCGGCCGCCCGCGTC